CAAATTAAGTTTTGGACATGGTTTTTATTTTTTTAAAGTTCTGTTAGACATTTCTTCACATTTTGTGATGGTGAATCTCAATTTTAAGTGGATTATCAACTTTGCCACAAGTTGAATTTCACAAGTTAAGAGAAGCAAAGAGGGCCAGTTCCTAATGGCAAGTCAGAAGGTGAGGAGAGGTTGCTGCTGATGGATAGAAAGCATTATCAGAAAGTTTGCCCTCGTACTGTTTTAAGTAACAAATATCAGTTTTACCCTTACTGCAAAGCCCAGGTGAGCACTGAAGGAGGAGGTGGGGGTCACTTTAATGTGAGACTGAGTTGCGAGGTTTTAGTCATATCTTTGGAAAGGTCTGGGAACCCTTACATAGAGTCCCTGCAGGGTGTGGGCATTGTGCAACTGTGCTCTCAAAGAGAAAATCAAGGGCAGCTGGTGTCACCAAGAATGAAACAAAAACAATGGGAGACATGACATGGGAAGTGTGACAAGTGCCGTAAAGCTGGGGCGGGCTGAGAAGCAGAGAGGGCCTGACTCTACTCTGCAGTCAGTTGTGTCTACGCAGATGCAATGCATGACCTCAGTTTGGAAGAAGAATAGTAGATTGCCAGAAAGACTGAGTCAGAAAAGGTGTTAGTAACTGTTTTTTAGACCACCAACTGAGTGGCTTATAATAAGAGAAATTTATTCTATCTTCTTGGATGCAGGAAGATAGAAAGCAAGGTGTCAGCAGGGTTAACACCCTCTAGAGACTCCATTCCTTGTCTCTTTCACCTGGTGGTTGCTGGTTTTCGTGGCTTGCAGCCACATCACCCATCACCTCTGCCATTTTCCATGACCTCATCTTGTGTTGCTTCTAAGGTCACTTGCCATTGAATTTAGGGATTACCTAGGTAGTCCAGCATGATCTCATTTCAACATACTTAACTCAAGTACATTGGCAAGTATAACGTTCACAGATTCCATGGATTAGAATGTGAACCTATCATTTTAAGGGGCCACAAATTCAATCCACAACAGAAGGTGGAAGCTTTCCAGATCTTCTTAACAGAAGGTCTTCGATGATCATGTCTCTTGTTATTTTTCAAGTCCTGTCACCCACTGTTCCCCTGACCTCAGGAGGTCATTAATTGTTTTCATTTTCACAAATGAAAGATTTTTCCATGTCTCCATGCTTTTGTATATGCAGCTCCCCCTTTCAGTTTTAATTAACCAAGTTGGGTGCTGGAAGGAAAAAATCAATAGGTTGGGTGGTCGATAGGAGCATGCTTAGGGGATGCAATGAACAGGCTCTCTGGTTCCATGTGTTCATATTTCATAATTAAAACTTCTTTTGGACAATCTAGTTATGTTCTGGAGGCCTCTTTATCATTTTATCTGTCTTTATGTAAGTAAGTTATTCGTGTGAAATGTAAAAAGTTCCTCTCTGAAATTCGATTTCATGTTTACTCATGAATAGCAGCTGCTCTCAAAAGTTCTTCACTTTTGAATAAATTATGTTTACCTCAGAGCACATAAATATCCTAAAGGTTTATTTTGTTTTGTGTCTCAGGAGAAGTAATTGGGACCCAGTGCGCTAGATATTCATAAGGCTGCAGATAACCTGTTTTGGATGCTCTCAGTAGACTGAGGAACAGAAGCTGAGAAGGAGAAAGGCTTGCATTTTGATGGGAGTAGTCAACACGAAGTGAATGACAATGATGCCAGACACAAGATCTATGTGTTCATATCTTCCTTTTATTATCTCATTGTAATTAAAGCTTAGAGTGGATTATGGAAATACACAAACAAATATCTTCTGACTTGGATTTAGCCTGGCATGCTGTGAAATTGTGGTGGGATATGATTGCCTATGTATTATGCATATTATACTATAACAGAGATTTTAATCTGCCATATGGGATTTCTACGTGATCGAAATGTAAGTCTATCAACACAAAGGCAGATGAAAGAATATTGCTTATTAAAGATCATAATAGGAGAAGTTAAGGGGCAGAGAGGAAAAAGAAGTTAGTGTGGGCCAGACACAGAGAAAGTATAGAAACTGGTGCAAAATCAAAGGGACATAGTGAGGAAGTGATTAGGAAACAGATCAAAGGAGGAACCTATTCTGTTATTGTTTTCCCATAAATTCTGTTTTGCTTGCATAAAACACTATCACTGTCAAAACGCTCCCCATAACCTCTCATAGGGATTACCTGGATTCTTGCTCTTTTGTAGTCTGGTGACCACTGTTCACACCCCCACCCAGGAGAGCAAGGGGAATAGCTTATTGAACATTCTTTTTTTTTTTAAATTTTTTTAATTTTATATATTTTTTACATCCCTTTTCATTTTTGCACAATGTGTGGATTTTTATCTTGGTTATACTCTCCATACAATTCCCACCACCCCTTATTTTGACCCTAATCCCCCCTCCTCTTCTTCCCGGCCCCCTCCCCCAGCTCTGCCCCCCTCCCCGCCCCCCGTCCCAGTGTGTCTCTGGTTTATAGTTGCTTGTTGATTTTGATTTTCACTTTATTATAATTAGTCCTTTTCCTGGTCCCTTATTTAGCTTATTGAACATTCTGAAAGGAGGAGAGAGTAAAGAAAACATCACTCACCAGTTTCTCCTTCTCTACCCTGGGACAGCGTGAACAGAGAGAACCTAGAAGTGCCAAGGCCTGGGCATATCCTCCAGGCAGGAGTAAGCTGATCTTGCTCTGTCTTAGCGCTCCAAAGTCCTGGACTGGAGCCTGTTGCTCTGAGATTGAATATCTTTCTGTAATTTAGAGATGACACTACCACCCCCCAGGTGTTGTGAAGATAAATAGGATGTGTATTTTCACATGTTCACTCAAGCAATATTTTTGGGTGCTATGATAAGCACAATTCTAAAAGAACCTGCCTCAACCCCACTACCCCCCAACCCCCCCACCCCCGCCACAATTCATGCTCTTGTATAAACAACTCATTTTAAATGTGGGCAGATCTGTGACTATGTTGGGTGTCACTTCTAGGATGAGATTATGCAAAGATCAAAGGATTTTGTAAATCAATTAATTCTGAGTTAACTAAAAGGGAAATTATTCTGTGTGGGTCTGAAGCAGTTGAAAACCTTCAAAGTATTACAAAGATTCTCCTGCTGGCCTTGAAGCAAGCCACACTGAGCAAAGAAATTAATTCTGCCAACAGAAGAGACACCGAGCCTCAGATAAGACCCCTTCTCATGGTTATGACATTGAAATTGCAGCTTTGTAAGACCTTCCTCAGAGACCCCAGCTACACCATGCCCAGATTCCCAGTGCATGGAAACTGTGAGATATTGCAAGTATGTTATTTTAAGCAGGTGCTTTTCTGGTAATTTGTTACATAACATCATGCTAAGTGCTGGGGATCAAATGGTTCATAAACCCAGCACAAACCTGGCTTCTAAGAACACAAACAAGGAAATTGATGACTATTATCTGATGAATGAGTAAAGAAGTAGTACTTTTGAGTTAACTCTTATCATTGCTTCATCAATGAGCGTGATTCTTTCGCTGTGGACCCACTGCCACCACATTGCAGAGTAAAACAGAGAATGGGAGAAAGAGGATGATATGACCTAGGCAGGGGAGGGAAAACAAAGCTCATTTGATTGCAAGAGGAGAGGCAGAGAAAGAAGACAGAGGGGCAATCCATGTGGATTTGTCTTTCCCATCCCCTTTCTTGTATTATCAGATAAGTGGGGGGAGATTTCACAGAGAAGTATATTGGTTTCCCCTTCTTTGAGTAAACATTGAGAATTTTTTAAGCATGCTTAGATAAGTGCGGAGTCTAACATGGCCCTGCTTGGGCTGCCAGCTGTAAATGGATCCAGGCAGGGGGAGGACCAGAAATAGTGTCCTCCTACCTCCTCCCTCACTGCCCAGCCCTCCTGTCTGCAACCTTTCAACAGCCTGCTCACTTACTTCCAAGAACCAAAACAAAATAGATCTTTAGGATGTTTATGTGCTTAGAGGCAAACTTATAATTTACCCAAAAATGAACAACTTTTGTGAGCAACTGCTATTCATGGAGTAAACATAAAATCAAATTCCAGAGGATGTTCACGTTTTACATAATGAAAGAGATGGTTTGAAACCATAAGAGAACAGGTTACCTTTAATTAGGGAGAGAAAGTGTTTCCCCTTATTAGTGTAATGGTAGCTTGAATGCAAGATCAGACCACTATTAACAAACCAACAAAACCCTTTTTTTTTTTCTTTTTTGGAGCATCTGAACATATTGTGAAGTACAATTGCTGCCAATACAAGCAGTACCTTAGAATGGTGATTATCAACTGGTATAATTTTGCTCCCCAGGGAGCATTTGCGGGTGCCTGTAGATAGTTTGGGTTGTCACAACTAAGGGGGGTGCTACTGGCATTTAATGGATAGAGCCTATCGATGCTGCTAAACACCCTACAATGCCCAGGACAGCCCTCGACAATTAAAACTATCCACCCCCAAATATCCATTTACTGCTGTGGAGAAATGCTTCCTTGGAGATGCACAAGTTGCTAATGGAACATTGAAAGCCCACTGAACTCAGGGTGAAATGGAGGGGCAGACCGGAATTGGCCTGAGCAAAGGATCAGGGGGCTCCAGATCTTTGGGGGTCTGAAGGGAGAAGTCTAGTGGGGAAGGCAACTCAGATAAGGGGTGTTATCTATAGCGGTGGGCCAGGTCAGGGAGAATCTTTAAGGCATACACAGACTCTGCACTTCATTCCAAGGTCCTGAGGGAGACATAAGAGGGTTTTTTTCCGCAAGGTCATAACAGGAGCGGGTTTGTCCTTTAGCATTTACAAAAGAATTCAACTTCTTATGGATTCTTTACAGTAACTCAGTGAAGAAGGAAGGAGGCTGTTATTTCTATTTTTAAAATACGTCTGTATTTCTTGACTTTCCTATGTAATGGGACATAAACGGCCCTCCTGCCTACCACAAGAGGAAATGCTAGCGAAGAGAAAGGAAGTGATACTTTGTTTTCTCCTTGCAGAAGTGGCGAAGCTGTGTATAAATGGATCACGATTGCCTTTTTCATCCACTGACCACAAATGTGTTGCTCTGGTTATTTTCCTTTCGATGAACCTCAAATATGAATCAACCAACATCAAACCAGATGTTAGAAAGTGTGGAAAGAAGAGCCACATGGAGAGGACAAGTTGCCTTGATAAATGGATTTGAATGACATGCTGGGGTTCAGATCGAAGTACAGCACATTTAGAGCATCTTGCTTAAAGTTTGGTTTGTTCTTTTCACGTATTTTCATAGAATGCCTAGTCATAGATTATAAACAGACTGCTTATGTGCTGACATTTCTGGGAGGTACAATGAAACTCCTCTAACGACCATTATTTGTGATATCTCCACCTGTGCTGTCAGGAAGGGGAGTGTTGTACTTTCTGTTCTGCAAGTGGTAAGGGGAAAGATTCTGTGAATAAATTGCATTATTTTCTGGCCCAGGGTAATGCTGGCTTAACAATTGCTCTGATTTATCTGGGAGATATTTAGCAATAAATACAAATTAAGTTGAAGACCAGAATAAATTCGAGAAATCATTTCCAGCAGCAGTCATGATTATTTTAATCATTTTGACATTAGAGAGTAGGCCAATGGTTCATCTTCTGCATTTATTTTTCCCAGCTATACACAACAGAGGACACTTACATTCTAGAACTTTCGATGACTCCTTCTATTTTCAAAACAGTTCAAATGTCTGGGGTGCAAAGCCTTTCATGGTCTTTCCCCATTTGCTCTGCCTGCTTTTCATCCCCCCATTTAAGATCCTAATATGGAATTTATGCAGGAGCCCCTGGCACCCCTTGGTTACAATGCCCATTTTAAACCTCCTTGTTTCTAACAGTGTTGTCTACACTGCCTGAACATTCTCCCTGCCAAACTCTGCAACAGTTCAAATGATGAGTTGGCTGGGGGTATAGACAAAATAACTATGCTTGCAGACCCCGATTTTAGGAGTCACAGCCAGCCAATCTCCTCATCCTTTAACCTATACATGAATGTCAGTGTGATTCTTGCATTGGTCATTTGCAAGTAGATTATCTCTCAACTCTGAAGGATTCCTTTTTCTCTTTTGGGAATTACCATCTGATCCACAGGTTTTAGGTGTGGACCTCTAACAGCTGTATCTATGTGTTAGTACCCAGCATTTTTAGGGCTATTGCTTGACACCCTGGAGTATTTTTTTTATGGAAATTTTTAATTGGGTTGCAGGATGAATTAGGTCATACTCATTATGTGATGGGAGCTGCAGCTTACAAATGTAACAAATGTGAAGCAGCTGTCTTTACTGTGGATCTGCTAAGGAAATAAGTCCCCAGAGAAAGAAAATATAACAAATCCATACAGAGAGGATATCAGAGATGGAAAAAGAGGCTTGGAATCTTCAAAGACCTCAATTTCAGTTCCTTTCCAAAGCATATCTCAGCAGCATTCCTGTTCGGTAGTCCATGAAAAACAGTATCCTAATACTAAATTCTCACCTTTTAATTTCTTTCCTTATCATTTGCAGATCACAGCATAGTAGACTTGTTTGATGGTGCAAATTCTCTCTCAGCTTTAATTATTTTTCCTCTCATCTTCAACTCAGAATTAAAATCTTTATCTTCTTCCCACATAAGACACGTATAAAAGCATATTCTTACTTTCCTCTAGTTGGTCTTCAGTCAACCCTGCTTCCATTTCATAAAACATTGTTTATCATCTCATTTTAGCTCTAAATTGCAGCTGCCCAAAGGGGAACAAAGAGTCTTGCCAATGCTCCAGCACCAGAACACAACCACTCTCCTCAGGGAGGGAGATAAGTAGAGCTCTCAGAGTCCTTGGAGATCTTGGGTCCATATATGTTTCCTCTATATCACTTGTTACCGTTAAACATTCTGTACATCTTATTTATTACTTACTATCTGTCTTCCCCCCTCTCTATTCAAATAAAAGTTCTTTTAATTTTTGTAAATTTATAAAATCATCCTATTATTATTTTCTACTTTTATCAGGGGAGAGTTGGGCTGGAGAGGGAGCTGGCAGTCTCTGATAGCTTCCCATTTCCAAAAGTTGCATCCATTTGCCTAGACTAGCTTGTTACTTGCACCACAGAATCCTTACATAACGTGAATAATAAATATGAAGATTAAACTGCCCATTTAACAGGGTAAACTGTATTTAAAATCCTTTTCAGAATTATGTAAAATATCACAATAAAATTGCAACAAAGTCTATGATGTGCAAACTTTTTAGGACAAATGGTCCAGCTTTTCAAGAACAATAAATTGCATGGAAAAATAATAAAGAGAGGGAGAGACTTAAAAGCTTTAATAACCAATTATAATAATTTTAAAAGTATAAACATTTTTGAAGTAACTGAGAAAATGTGTGCATTGACTTGTTATTTAATGATGTTAAGAAATCTGTTAATTTTTAAATAATAGTATGTGGTTATATATTTGTTTAAATTCTTTTTAAAATTTTTTTATTTATTTATGCATATAAGAACTGGTGTGTAAGCCAGAGGTGTGGGGGGTGAGAGGATTCACCAGAGTTTGGGGAGCAGAACAGGCAGATCTACTGAAATACAATACTGAGGGGAGCAGCGGGCAAGACAGGAGAGATCTGCTGCGCCATGTGGGTTAGCTCCTGGGATCGAACTCATGCAGCAGTGGCTGGCAATAGCTTGATAGTGCTGTCTTTAACCCGTGCGCCATAAGGGAGGCCCCTGTGGTTGTATTTTTAGAGAGAATTATCTTTTAGAAATATATACACAAAAATATTTCAGATGAGTTGATATGCATCAACAGAATCAGGGTGTGGAGTAAGTGAGAGTATAAATGGAGGAGGAATGGCATGAGCAATTAATTGATGGATCTGGCTTATGAGCACGTGGAGAGTCCTAACAATATTCCCTATTTTTTGTATATGTTTAAAATTTTCCGTAATACCTTTTTTTTCAAAAAAGTTTTTCTTTATAATTACCAACTTGGAGATCTAAAAAAATAATGTGAGAAGAGAACTGCAAAACTGTTTATGTAGAGATTGTACTAATTACTGTCATGGTTTAGTAGGGGAGATAGGCAAGTAAACATGCAATTATAATACAATGCAATTAACTTCTACACTAGAAGTATCACAGGGTAGTATGTGTGTGGGTGAGGGTCATTCAACTCAGTCTGAGGTATTAGGGAAGAAGAAAGATTTACCCAGGATTGAAATAAAGTACAGCTCTGTTTGGCTACCATGGTGATGAGCCCCAAGTGTACCTCCACCTACTACTGCTACTGGCCTGTGTTTTAATTAATCTCTTTATGTCCTCTGAGACGCCTACTCATTTGAAAAAGTCTTTTAATTTGTACCCTCTGCACCTCTTCACTTTAAAGGAATCCTGACACTTCTGGAAGACATTGCTCCTGATGGGCCCTCCTGACTGGAGATCCCAGCCTGGTTCATGGAGGGAACGTGGGGGGCAGGCAGGGCACTGACTTTCTCCTTCTGGGTGCCATCCCACCTCCTGCCTTCTCTGCAACCTGGCTCCTTTTTCTCATCTTATGTCCTCAACCTCTCATGTCCATTGTTCCTTCATTGTACAACAGTGTTCAAATTTTTTGCATCCTAAAGACAGAAGCAAACAAAAGAAACCCTGACTGTCTGTGGGCCGTTACCTAAGTTCTTTCTCTCTTCACAGTCATTCTTCTTCAAGAATAGTGAATACTGGGGCCTCCCTGGTGGCACAGGGGTTAGTCTCGGCGCTATCAAGCTATAGACAGGCACTGCAGCATGAGTTCGATCCCTGCCAGGGAGCTGACCCACATGGCGCAGCAGACCTCACCTGTCTCACCCACTGCTCCCCTCAGCAGTGTATTTCAGTAGATCTGCCTGTTCTGCTCTCCATTCTGTCTCTGGTGAATCCACTAAAAGTCCCTATACCTCTGGCCTACACCCCAGTACTTGTACGCATAAATACATACAAATAAATCTTAAAAAAATAGAATAGTGGATACTTAATCTGCACCTCTTTTCCTCCTCCTCACCTCCCAGGTGCCCAATGGCTTAATGACTTCTAGCCTTCCTTGAGCAGGCAAAAATGTCCGACTATGTCTTTCAGTCTGTCTAAATAACCGGATTCCAACTACCCCTCAATTTGTTTGCATAGCCCACAGCCTGCCGGTGTGTAAAGGAGGCAGAGCAAGCACAGTCTCCAAGTTCCTGGCCCCAGTTCATACCTACTTCATTAAAATACTAAAGTCTCTGCCGAGGGGAGGAGCTGAGCCTCCATGTTCTGAATATTTGCTGTATGTGGAAGCGTGAACCCCCTGGGCATGCCAAAAATGCCCAATACCTGCAGCATCCAATCACCAAGAGCTTTCTTGTCTCCTTTCTGTCTTTATCTTCCTCAAAGGACCTTCCCAACAGGGACCCAGGGAGATTGTGAAGTAACTCACATTCTTTGCCCCCCATTACTCGTGGATAGAAAATTTCTTTCTCTGATAAAATTTAAGTTTAGTTTACTTAGGCACTAACTTATTGAACCTGGTAACATGAGTACCTCACCCCCCCAATTCTTCCAGATCTTCCAAAAAAAAAAAAAATAATAAGCTCTTTCCCTGCAGTTGTTTATTCACACTTGGTGACTTTCATGGAACCACTAAGTGTTAATATTTTTGTCATTCCTCAACAGGATAGAAATAGATTCAAGTCCCCAAAGAATCCAGATGAAACCGCAGATGTCCATTTCACTTCAGTCTGAGCTGCAGTCTGAAAGTGAATGTATCCTGTCAGTATGGGACACCTGGCCTGCTACATAGCAATACCCACAGGGAGTAGGGGTTCTAGGTCACTCAATTTTATGGGAAAGCACAAAAGGTTTCCAGCACTGCTTCTGTAGGGGAAAGGGGACCTGGATCTAGGTCAACACAGCAGGTACAAAGGAAAGTTATGAAGAAAAAGAGAAATATAAGGGAGCGGAGGCAGAAATAGGCCAGCTGCTTCAGCAAAGAAACTAAGCTTCAAGAGTACTGGGGAGCTGTGATAAAATGTAACTTATGTTTGATAAAATCTTAAAGTTCCATCTTGGTTCTTCTTACTTCATTATCATCATTGGCTATTTCTTCATTATTCTGATGTAGTCATTTTAGCTTAGTCACAAAAGGTATCCTCATTGTGGTTTCTTCTCTTCTCTATTCTTCATTTCTTCTCTTAATTTCTGTAATAAAGAGCAAAACATGGCTGGGCATGGTCTGCAGCCACAAGTTGTAAGTATTCAAACTTGGCAGTTTTCACGTAAAATCTTTTAGCTATTTGAACTTGCAAATTAAAAAAAGTTTCACTCAAATTTTCTTCTTTCAGCATCTCCAAACTCAATTGGAGAGTACTGATGGTTCAATATGCATCAAAGAAGGATACTATTATTAACATCACATCCTTTCCTAAAAAATACTCTCCAGAAAAAAAGCATTTCTGGGATGTGAGTTACTTGGTCACAACAGAGCAATATCTATTAATTTGCATATCTTAGGATCTAGTTGCAGGCACCAGCTTTTGTGGACAGAATGTTACTTGTAAGTACATAGTGCTATCAACTTTCTACTTAGCACATAATCATAGACGAGAAATTTGCAATGAATGCACCCAAGGTTACTAGTATACTGCTCCGCTGACATTTTTACTCTAAGATAGCAAAGGGAAAAAATGAGGAATTTTCAAAAAATTTTTTTGTTTAAAGATTTATTTATTTATTTATACAAACACTGGGTACAGTCAGAAGCGC